TCTTAACTCCTCTCTCTACAAACTCGGACCCGATGATAGGGGCTGGTCTTGTACCAGGCATCCAGGGACCCTTGGAGGTGACCCTGAGGAGAGGTTTTAAGTTTGATTGAGTCTTAATAGCTTGAGTCTATTAGGCCCTTACACCAACAAGCTGGTATCAGAGCTGCGTTATAGTGATCCTCGTTATAGGTAGCTATGGCGGGCAATACCTCGGCGGGAGCTGGTGAATCTTCAGCCCAAGATTGTAGCGGCAGCCAAGATTCTGGTGTTTCGGCGCCAAGGGGAGCGCGAACAAACCAGGGCTCGCTGATCAAGGAGGTGTTGAAGAACTTCACCGTCCAGAAGTTCAATGGTGTGGGCCATAATGATTAGGCCTGGAAAATGCAACTCTATTTCCGTCAGATTGTATTGCTAAAACTAATAATTGGGGAGGAGCCTAGACCGAGTGACCCCGCGCTGCAGGAAGATTGGGACGAGCGCGCCTCGGCTGGCTACTACTTGATGTCGCAGAGTTTGGAGCTGAACCAGCGTCACCACATCATGTACCTGTTGCCGGTCCGAAGGCGTGGACCGTGCTGAAGGAGCTGCACGCCCCCACCTCCGTCGCCGCGACACTCATGATGGAGAGGGAGCTGTCTGCGTTGCGCTTGAGCGAGGGTGAGCCGCTACAACCTGTTTGCAACGCGGTGCAAACGACTCTACCGACCAACAAGGAGGTATCAGTTGGGGTCGCGGTGCGAAGTCTGGACGTGGGGGCAAGTCGGGTGCTGGTGGCAAAAGAACCCCGCTGGATGGACCTCCCTGCAGTTGCTGGTATTGTGAGAAAGAAGGGCATCTCTGGTTTTTGTGCTAAAAGAACCCCGCTGGATGGACCTCCCATGTCATAAGGATGGTGGCGCGTGGAGGAACCAGAAAAACGGCGCCAACATGGTCGCTGATTTGTCCGACAACAACCCGAAGGGCAATGGCGGTGCGGAGAAGAAGAAGGAGCGTACCGCGGGCCAATTCTTCCATGCAGCAGATAAGAGGGAATAAGGAGACGGCTCTGCCCAGGTTGGAGTGGAACTGCACCCCTTGGACTGTTGGATGTTGGACACGGGCGTTGCTTGGACGATGACGCCTCGCAAGGACCTGTTGGATAACGTACGCGCTGCACCGATCAACGAGGTGTGCTCTGTCTCTGGACACGCGCTGAAGGTGGCTGGTGCGGGACGAGCTGCGTTTAAGGGAGCGGATGGCAAGCCGGTGGTGCTGCACGACGTTCTCCTCGTCCCCGACCTCAAGGCCAACCTCATCTCCCTCTGTAAGCTTGCCAAGGCTGGGGAACCGAGTGTTTTGGGATCTGCACGAGAGCAAGGATGTGTACAGATCTATGTGGCAGCTGCTGGCAGTGGCGTGGCACGGTGGGGAGTAGGCAGGAGAGGGGTCTGCATCCCAGGGGGAGTGCAACGCTGTTGGAGAGGTTAGTGTCAAAGTGTCAGCCAGATCTTGGGAGACAAATTGGGCAACGGCACACCGACGCTTGGGCATGTGCCAATGCCCTTTCTTTAAGCAGTTGGAGAAGGATGGACCCGTTAAGGGTCTGAAGCTGACGAACAGCCACTCGATGATACCTGTGAAATATGTTTGCTCTCAAAGTTTACCCGTTTCCCCTTCCATAGTGTCGCTGGCAGGAGCAAAAAGCCCTTGGAGCTGGTCCACATGGACTTGGTGGGGCCGCTGCCGGTGCAAGGGCATAAGGGGGGGCGGTTTTTCCTTACGATTGTGGATGATTGGAGCAGACTCATGTGGGCGTATCCGTTGAAGTAGAAGGACCACGCTGCCTCCACGATACGGGACGATTGGCTGCCATTCGTGGAGAAGCAGGCGGAGTGTGTAGTGAAGCGGATTAGGACAGACCGGGGTGGTGAGTTCCTTGGAGCTGAAATGACGGCCTGGCTCAAGAAGCAGGGCATCCAGAGAGAGCTGACCACGGCTTATACCCCACAGTCCAATGGCGTAGCAGAACGGGCAAACCGGACCATTCTGGAGACAGCTAGGGCGCTGCTCATAGAATCTGGGCTGAGCAATTCTATGTGGCCTCATGCTGTCCGGCACGCCACCGTCGCTAGGAACAGGGTGCTTACCAAGGTTGGGGATGACTCGTGGGTGCCTTTGGAGAGGTGGCTTGGGAGGAAGCCGCCGGTGGACATGCTGAGGGTGTTCGGTTGCATGGCAGTCGCCCACGTCCCCAAGACCTACCGCAGTAAGTTGGGGGCGAGTGCAATCTGGTGTGTGCATTTGGGGCTGGCTGCTGAGAGCAAGGGATGGCTGTTGTGGGAACCATCCAAGGGTGTGTTGTTTGACAGCAGGGATGTGAAATTCATTGAGGGCATAATGTATGGGAGCTGGGAGAAACAGCCGGAGGCCAGGGTGTCCCAGCAGATGGAGCAGATCACCATGCAGCTGGACCTGACTCCAAGTGTGTGGGAAGAGGGAGAGGAGGCAGATGCAGAGGGTGGTGATGGAGAGAAGGTACAGGAGGCACCTGCTGGTGGAGGAGATGATGTGGAGACTAGTGGTAGCACCAGGGTAACTGCTGGATCTGAGGGAGGAGAGCAAGAGCAGGGCAAAATGCATAAAATGCTGCGGTGTCCAAGTGGGAAAGTACCCCACCATGGACACCATCCTGCCGAATCACAAGCCGCGTTGGCAGACTCACTACTTGTCTTAACCATGGGAACGCCATCTTAGTATGTACTCGGTGTACAATACGCTCAGTTCTAGTTCGGTTGAGAGGCGTGCGTGGTTCAGTAGGATGTGGGTGCATCACAGTTCGTGCGTTGGTTTGGCGCGAGCGTGAAACTGTCAAATTAGGGTCATGTAAGAGTTGATTTCTTTGAAGTTACCATTCGCGTGATGGGCTGCTAGTGTATAGTTACCAAACGCATTAAGTGGGTTACCAAACACGTCAAAAGTACATGTTATCGTTACCGTACGCTTTATAGTGCCCCATATAAGTTACCATTGACAAAATTTTCCCAGCAACAACCTGGTCACCAGAACGAACCCTCAGAACTACCACAGAGCAGAGGCCTGGCATTTTCACCACAACTGGGATTCTCGATGTGACGGGGGCACATAGACAATACCGCCACACATCCTCACCATCCTCCATTTTCCTTCAATTCTCTTTCCCCACCCTTATCTGCGCCCGTTTTTCTTCCATTTCCTTCCCTTTCCTTTCTTTTTCCAATTGTGCTTTTGGTCCAAGTGCGCGCCTGGTCCAAGAGTGCGCCTGGTCCAACTGCGCGCCTGGTCCAAGAGCGCGCCTGGTCCAGTTGTGCGCCCGGTCCAAGTGCGCGTATGGTCCAATTTAGCAACTGGTCTAACTGCACGTCTGGTCCAATTGCGCGCCTGGTCCAACGGCGTGCCTGGTTCAACTGCAGCCCTGATCCAACTGCGCGCCTGGTCCAAGAGCGCGCCTGTTCCAAGAGCGCGCCTGATCCAACTGCGTACCTGTTCCAACTGCGCGCCTGGTCCTACTGCGTTACGGTAACTGGTGTATTACGATAAGAGGTGCGTTATGGTTACATGTGCGTTATGGTTATAAGTGTGTTATGGTAACAGATGTGTGTTAAGGTACAGTTGTGTTATGGTAACAAGTGTGTTACGGTAACAGGTTCGTTATTGTAACAGGTGCGTTATGGTAACAGGTTCGTTATTGAAACAGCTGCGTTATGGTAACAGGTGTGTTATGTTAACAGGTGCAGTATGGTAACATACACACAATGTTGTGAGAGTGAGCAGGGCCGCGCAGACACGGCAACGTGCTATGGGCGCCGTCGCGTGGCGATATGACATGGTGCACACCACGATCGTTATTAAGCGCGACAGGTGTGGGATTCATCTGCTTGCCTTGGGCGTGTGTAAGGGCGTGAGCGTGGTAATAACTGCCACGCACGCGGCACCTTTCGCACGAGCATTCGTCAGGGCAGGTGAGAGGAGGGTGAGCAGTGGAGTGGCGAGGCGAGGCCATGAGGGGACGAGGCAAGGCCTTGAGGGACGAGGTGCCAGTGCTGCCGCCGCTGCCTCACTTTTCCTACTATCGCTGCTACCGCTGCCAATGCTGCTCCATCTGCCCAGCCGCAACATTCCTTCCACGGCGAACAGAGAGTTGCAATCCGACGGGGATGGTTAGTTGCAGCGTAGAAGTCACAAGTTGACAGAGAGAATTGACAGAGAACGATAATAAACGCAGAGAAAGCAATTTGCAATCTCACAAGGAACGACAATCAGAGTAGCGTTTACAAGTTGACAAAGTGAATTGACTCAATGATGAAAAGAACGCTGCTGACCGGTTGCTTACTTGTTTGTCCAATCGTTGCTGTAGTTACAGTGCTGCTTCATCTTCCCACCGATGCCTTAACGTTCCCTGCACAGCAACCAGAGATTTGCAACCCCACAAGTAGAGTTTACGAGTACAGCGTAAATTGACGGAGAGAAGAATAACGAATGCAAGGAGGGAAACGAGAGCGAAAAAATGACTAAGAACACGAGAGCCATAAAAACAAAGGAAGGGGGACTTCTGTTACTTGTTTCTTCGGTTGATATTTCTCCAATTGCTCCTGCTCCAGCTGCCTCCAACACAGCAGCACGACCCAACCTCGCCAGCCACTGCCGCAGCTGCCCCAACCACGCCTTGTCACCCCTGCACAAGGAACAGAGAGTTGCAGCCCCTACAATAGAGATGGTAGAAAGTACAGGCACATCTGCGAATCGATCAGGGGAAACAATTTGCAGAGCAAAACGGCGAAGACAATATGAAATGGCACCTTTGATTACGAAGTGGTGCGATTACGGAGGAAAGGAATGGAGGTGTCCTGTTACAACGCGCCAGCACTGCTGCTCTACCTCCCAGCAACGCCATGCCTTATTGCCCCTGCACAAGGAACAGGGATTTGGAACCATTACTATAGAGAAAATTAGCTGGTGAGTACATATTGATAGAGTGAAGAAAGATGACACAATGTAAGGAGAATCGACGACGAACAGAAGGTAAGTGAAAATGCGAAAATTGTTGGTGTAAGGGCCCTATTAAGACTTAATCAAACTTAAAACCTCTCCTTGGGGTCACCTCCAAGGGTCCCTGGGTGCCTGGCACAAGACCAGCCCCTATCCTCTGGTCCGAGTTTGTAGAGAGAGGAATCAAGAGTGACACAGTCAAAACAACAAGAGTACCTTGAACGTCGCGCAGCATGCCGTGCAGACCGTCGATCGTTTTAAGCTGAGAATTCGCTATATCGAAGCTCGCTCCAAGAGCTTTAAATTGAGCCAAGTTGCCTCGCGAAAAGTTCTGCCATTACAAAGTTATGGCTCGGACAGCGTTTGCCTAGCATTAGAGTGCTAGCGTACTACCATTGAATCGGTAGCATTCCGTCGTCGAATATCGTAGAAACTAAATTCCAGCAAGGAACAGAGAAAAAATAGAACAAACAAACAACAAACAGAGAAAAACAGAGAATAAACAGAGAAACAGCATCTACTCAAGTCCGCTTGAATCAATTTCACTATGTTCACGTACAAACAGAGAATGAATTAATAGTTCTAGCTAGCAAGGACCTTGGGAATCAACCTGGGAATAACCAGGGATGATCCCAAATAATTCCAAGCAACAGAACCAACCTGGCTGGACAAAACAGCAGGTGGTAGGTTGGTAAACAACCTCTGGTTCTATTTTTCCAACCTGGGAAAACAACAACCAGGTTCAGGTTCTAAAAACAGAACTTGTTTTCGTGTTTGCCTAAGCAGTCAAATTCTGGTTCTGCTTGTTTCCCCTGGCCCTGTAGCATGCAGATATAGACAAACAACATCCAACCTTCACCTAAATTGTACCCCTATAGTGCCTGCCCTGCTACACTAAAGTCAACCAAACAAAAGAGTACGATTTCGAGTTGGATAGAACTGAATCCGCGCAATCAATTTAACCAAAACGCAAAGCTTCCATCTCGGGCTCGTTTGCGAGCTCGTCCTTTCTGCTTGCACTGTTTATAGCGCGTACAATGTTGTGCTGAAGCGCACATTGCACGAGTACCTGCAAATGCTTCAAGCAAAAATTGCAAAAGCAAACAAACACACGAACACACCATTCTCATGTGAATGGATTCGCACATGCATATCGTACAAACAGACGGCAAGTTGTCGTGCAATGTAAATTTGCACCTAAAAAAAAGGAATGCAAGAATGTGGAGCGACGGAGGAGGAGGAGGAGGAGGAGGAGGAGGAGGAGGAGGAGGAGGAGGAGGAGGAGGAGGAGGAGCAGGAGGAGGAGGAGGAGGAGGAGGAGGAGGAGGAGGAGGAGGAGGAGGAGGAGGAGGAGGAGGAGGAGGAGGAGGAGGAGGAGGAGGAGGAGGAGGAGGAGGAGGAGGAGGAGGAGGAGGAGGAGGAGGAGGAGGAGGAGGAGGAGGAGGGAGGAGGAGGGAGGAGGAGGGAGGAGGAAGGAGAAGGAGGAAGGAAGGAAGGAGGGTGAGGGAGGAAGCAGGAGGAAGAGGAGGAGGAAGGAAGTAAGGAGGGGGAAGGAGGAAGCAGGAAGAAGAGAGAGGCGGGAGGGCCGTTACTGGCTAGGCATTTACAATGAGGGCATTTACCACGAAAATCTAAAGAGTTTGCCCGGATGCACTAACGCCAGGGGCTTTGAATTAACCGGATGCACTTACACTAGGGACGTTGCGCGAAGTACCCAAAGGAGGGGGGGGAAGGGGGTTCACCGTAGTAGAAGTTTTGGAGGAATACCGGCAGTGGGTAGGATGGTATGTGACCCGTTAGGTATCGCCTCAACCAGCAACGACGGAGGAGGAGGGGGAGGGGGAGGAGGAGGAGAACAGGGAGGAAGGGGTGTGGAAGAAGAAGGGGGAGGAGAAGGAGGAGGAGGAGGAGGAGGAGGAGGAGGAGGAGGAGGAGGAGGAGGAGGAGGAGGAGGAGAAGGAGGAGGGAGCATGTAAATCGAAATAAGCAGAGGGTCAGGGAGAGGGAACTTAGCCGGTTGTTTTTTCCCGTTGCCGCTCCATCCCTCCATGCTCAAACTCAGTTAGCATCTGCTCCTCTCCTTTGATGGATCCACGCCTCTCCCTTGATGCATCCGCGCCTCTCCCTTGATGCATCCGCCTCTCCCCTGATGCATCCGTGCCTCTCCCCTGATGCATCTGCGCCTCTCCCCTGGTGCATCCCGCCTCTCCCCTGATGCATTCGCTCCTCTCCCCTAATGCATCCGCGTCTATCCTGATGCATCCGCGCCTCTCCCCTGATGCATCCGCACCTCTCCCCTGGTGCATCCGCGCCTCTCCCCTTGTGCATCCGCGCCTCTCCCCTGATGCATTCGCGCATCTCCCCTGATGCATCCGCGCCCCTCCCATTTCCGCATGCTTGCATGAGCCCCTGCCACTCCTGCACGAACGGAGAAAGTTGGGAAACAAATAGACCAGTGAATCGAGTAGACTTTGCTCGAAACAAAGAGACTTAGCAATCGTCAAGTAGACATTGCAATGAGAAACCGCAAATATCATTAAAAAACACCAGCCCTTGAAGCGAACAGTAACTCACCAGAATACACCATCCATTGAACGTCCTCCTTCGCCAGCGGCCATTGATTGGAGATCTGAGATCGGGGATCAAAGGAAAGTAGGAGTGAGATATGAAACAAATAGACTTGGACCGAAAAAATGAGCGTCTAAAGAGTGATACGCCATGATACGAAATGAATAGAACAGCCACAATCGTCACGAAACCAACTGCGGAAACGGGAAGCGCTGGTTGAAACAGAAAACACTAACTTACACATTCATTGACCGCGATCATCGGCTTTCTCCTTGACAGCGTGTGAGCTGCGCCTCCGTCGCAAGCTGCTCCTTCTTCGCGAGCTGCTCCTCCGTCGCGAACTCTTTCCGTCATCATCATCTGACGTTGTCGAATGTCTTCACGTCTCCGCATCGTCAGACGTCGTAAGCTCTAGTACTAACCTGACTTTGCTAACGTCGCAAACGCTGTCGGGAGTAGTTGTACTAGTAGCAACTGGTGTTCGTAGTAATATCGACGGTTTCAGGAGCTCCTCGTCGCGAGTACTATTCTTCTCCAGTGACAACTTTCTTGTGAGCGGCTGCGACGTTAGGTTCAGAGGCCGAGGGAAGCTTCCCCGTAGTACAAGCAGCGTTGAACAAGTCGCACAAGGCGATTTGCAAGCTCCCCCTCGAACGTCGCAAGTGAGATGATGGATGGCACTGATCCGTGACCTTCGGGAACATTGTCGCATTATGTTGCGTCTGGTTGCATCATGTCATTTTGTCGCTTTACGTTTGTCGCGACTTCATGAGGTTAAGAGCTTACGTCGGTTGATGGAAGAACTTGGATCTCGATACTCTTACTTCATGACACCGAAGAAGATTTGATTAATCTGCTGTATGACTAAGGAGCTTGGATCTGATATAGCAATAAAAGGAATCAGCCATTTTGCACCTGACGGTCATCTGGTTGCAACTGGTTGTAACTAAGCTCTCTTACTACCTCGTCGCAAGTGACATGATGGTACACAGCCTCGTCTGTAGCTGCGTTAAGAGTGCGAAAATGGCCAGAACACCACACAGATGTAGCGTAGCAACTTAACGATATAGATGTCTGAAACTTCACGGTAAATCATCGTAGAAAGGCTTTGTACAGTTCATGAACATGGTCGCACTATGTCGCGTCCAGCATGATATGTCTTATACTAGCACTAATGAAATCTATTCTTCTAACTATGCTCTAAGATCCTTCCAGGCTCTAAGATTCTGCGATTTTCCTACCATGAAAATGATAGATTATGTACTAGCGCTGATGAGATTTACAATTCTTGCTAGGCTCTAAAAATCTGTTGTGATGCTACTACAGAATCTTAAGTTTAACGCGCTTCGGAACAGACTACGTTATCGAAATCACCTCCACTGTACAACCAACCGTGGAAGCCATGGATTCGGAGGTAACAGAGTGAGCAAACTAATAGAACATCCTCTCTGAGACAACCTTTGCATGGCAAATGCTTGAATGAGAGGGATTCAGTGGAGGTGGACCAAGAGACGACAATTGAAGCAGGATGGAAAGCAAGGTCGCGTACGGTGAGGAGGGTTTCAGCAAGGTGAGAAAAGTTTACGAGGGGTTGTACGGGCTTAGGAAAGGTGAGAAAAGGTGGGGCCAGATAAGGTGGGATGAGGCTATGTGTTGTGAGAGAAGGACGAAATGGAAACGCCTGAACGGCAAGGAGCGGGAAATCGAGTCGCCCCCAAGCCGAAGGGGGAGGGTTCCCCTCATCTCGGCAACCCCGAAATGCAAGGCGCTGCAAAGTTTACTGGCGAGCTGCACTGCGCTGAAAAGCTGGAATTCGCGGGTAAGTTCGCCGACAGTCTGTACCGGAGGCGGGGAACGCTTGGTTGCAGGAGATTTCTGCTGACGAGGCGGAAAATGCTGGAAAGTCAGCGGAGGAGGTGCGCCGAACAGTGGGGATCCGTGAAGATAATCCCCAAGGCTGACGAGAAGAGTAGCTTTCGCCAGAGCTCGAAATTTACTTTACCCTAATATGCAAACCATGAAACCGTATTTTCGGGAGAGAGCTACTGCTGGCACCTACGACGTTGGCTGGGATGGTGATGGTGAGGTGAGGTTTGTTGAAAGCAGCAACGCTGTTGGCAATGGCACACATCTCGTGCAAGTGTCAAACCAAGACATCCGCAGCCTCATCGGCATGGGCACCTGGGAGCTGGTCGAACGCCCAATCGGAAGAACTGGTGGGTCTTGATGTCCAAGTACCATGTCAACCACACGGTCACTCGGGAGATGGCGAGGCTGGTCGTGAAGGGTTTCACGCAGGTGTATGGCGCCGACTACGACGAGACGTACGCGCCGGTGAGCAGCTACGTCATGCTTGGGATTTTCCTCATTATCGTCGCCATCCTCAACATCAACCTGATGCAGCTCGACATGAAGAACGCCTTCCTGCAAAGCAAGCTCGACCGGGTGCTGTACATGTACCAGCCGAACTACTGCAACGACGAGACCGGCCGGGTCTGCAAGCTGCTGAAGAGCCTGTACGGGCTGAAGCAGTCGCCGCTGCTGTGGTACAAGGCGCTCAACGACGTGCTGGTCGGCGCTGGCTGGAAGAAAAGCTAGGTCGACGAGGCTGTGTACTTCAAGGTCGGCGGCGACGGAGTGATCTGCTGGGTGCTGGTTGTCGAGAGAATTAGGCAAAAGAGGACTGAACTAGCAAGAATGGGGATACAAATAGCAAACCCTAGAAGGGTTGTACTCGCTACAGAGCACCCCACTACAGGCTAGAGCATAATATTCTGACACACCCCCATAGCCAAAGTGGGGTGTAATCAGCAGAGGAAACAAAGCAGTACAAGCTCAGGGTGGATCACGATGTCACCACACATTCTGAGCACAAGCAAGAAGCAATAGTTTAAGGTGCACAATTATGAGCAAAGCTAGAGGCAGTCACAAAAGGGGCAAGTGAGGAGGAGGAGGGCTGGCGAGAGGAGAGTAGATAGGAGGCGACGACTGAAGCTGCAGACACACGGGCAACAGACGGCTCTGGTGCGACAACGTGGCTACCGGGAATGAGTGCCCCGGAGTACAGGAGTAACAGGCTCCGCGGCTAATATGCGCGGCAGGAGCAACGGACCCACAGGCGACGGCGCAACCGGCTCTCTGAGCTACCGGGAATGAGTGCCCCGGAGTACAGGCGCTGCGTACGACACGACGGCAACCTCCGCTCAACCTCCTCCAACTGTCCCACACCCCTCGACACACACCCCCTGCTTCAAACCCTAGCTCCACTCCGACGGTACCCCCCTTAAACCCCAAACCCTAGGCTCCCACACACCACCCCCCTCAGCGGCAGCTGTAGCAGAGGGAGACGAGGGAGGAGGAGGAGCAGGGGGAGGAACTCACAACCGACACCCCCATAGCCGCCACCCCCACACTCTCCACCCCCAAACCCTAAAACGGGCGGAACGGGGGAAGGAGCGCGGGGGACGGCGAGGGGGACGGCGCGCGGCCCCCAGGACGCCACCACGGGGCAGCGAGGGGCCGCGCGCGGCTCCTTAGGGCGCCGCGACGGGAATTGGGGGGGGGGGGGGGCCGCGGGCGACGGGACCGAGGGGCCGCGGACGACGGGAAAGCGGGGCCGCGGGCGACGGAATTGAGGGGCCGCGGGCGACGGGAAAGCGGGGCCGCGGGCGACGGGATCGGGGGGCCGCGGGCGACGGGACCGAGGGGCCGCGGGCGACGGGAAAGCGGGGCCGCGGGCGACGGGACCGAGGGGCCGCGGGCGACGGGAAAGCGGGGCCGCGGGCGACGGGATCGGGGGGACCGCGGGCGACGGGACCGAGGGGCCGCGGGCGACGGGAAAGCGGGGCCGCGGGCGACGGGATCGGGGGGACGCGGGCATCCCCCACGGGAGGAAACCGCCGCGCGCCTCGGGGCGCACGGCGGGGAGAAACCCGCCGCACGCCCCGAGCGCGCGGCAGGAAGGAGGCGTCGCGCGACCAGTAGAACAGCAGCGGAAGCATTTGGTGGTGGGCCCACCCACAGGATCGACCCAACAGGATCGTCCTGCTCTGATAGCATGTCGAGAGAATTAGGCAAAAGAGGACTGAACTAGCAAGAATGGGGATACAAATAGCAAACCCTAGAAGGGTTGTACTCGCTACAGAGCACCCCACTACAGGCTAGAGCATAATATTCTGACACTGGTCTACGTCCACAACCTGCTCGCCGCCGCCAGCAATACCGTGACGCTGAAGGAGTTGCTGGAGGCCGCCTTCGAGCTGCGCGAGATCAAGCCGCCGTTGGAGAAGTACCTCGGGCTGGAGATTAGGGTTTAGGGTTTAGGGTTCCTCATGAAGGCGCTGATCACAGAGCAGCTGGCCGACTTCCTCATCAAAGCGCTGCATTTTTCGGCCTTCAATTGGTGCTCCGCCGCAATC